TTTTCTTGGTGAAGTGGGAAAATCCAGAACCGGTTAGAATGAAGAAAGAGTTGTAAAAGGCGAGTTTGTATGAAGTTCTAGAACAATCGGAGATCTGGAAGCTGCATTTTGGAAAAATTCCACTCGAGAATGAGCAGAGGTAGAAATCATTAAACCAGAATCGTAGAGGAAAATCGGCTGAGAAAATATTGATAGGGATCTAGAAGACTGCTTTGGAAGTGTAGTTTGCTCCAGAAATTTTCAACTGTGTACGGTAAATACAAGAATTTTTCAAGAAATAGCAGAAAACTGGAAAACCGGAAGTGACATTTAAGGAGATAACTAACACAGAATTGAAACTCATATCCAGAAATAGCATTGAAGAAAGACTACAATAAACCAACTCGTTGAAGATGCAGAAAATTTAAGAATAAATAGATCAGGGAAATAAAAAGAACGGTTATCCAGGAAAACGAAGAAATGAGATGCTAAATGTAGAAGCTTCAGGGAACCCGAAAAACCAAATCGCGGATCAGAATGTTTCAAAAAGATTCTAGAATAATCTGTTGAGAAGAAACATTTTCTTGGTGAAGTGGGATAATCCAGAACCGGTTAGAATGAAGAAAGAGTTGTAAGAGGCCAGTTTGTACGAAGTTGTAGAACAATCGGAGATCTGGAAGCTACATTTTGGAAAAGTTCGATTCAAGAATGAGCTGAGGTAGAAATCCTTAAACCAGGATCGTAGAGGAAAATCGACTGAGAAAATGTTGAGGAGGCTCTAGAAGACTGCTTTGGAAGTGTAGTTTGCTCCAGAAATTTTCAACTGTGTACGGCGAACACTAGAATTTTTCAAAAAATAGCAGAAGATTCGAAAACCAGAATTGACATTTAAGAAGATAACTAATCCAGAATTGAAACTCATATCCAGAAATAGCATTGAAGAAAGACTACAACAATAAACCAACTCGTTGAAGATGTAGAAAATTTAAAAATAAATAGATCAGGGAAACAGAACGAACGGAGATCCAGAAAAACGAAGAAACGAAATGAAATGGCAAATGTAGAAGCTCCAAGGAACCCGAAAAACGAAATGGTGGATCAGAATGTTTCAAAAAGATTCTAGAACAATCTGTTGAGAAGAAGTATTTTCTTGGTGAAGTGGGATAATACAGAACCGGTTAGAATGAAGAAAGAGTTGTAAAAGGCCAGTTTGTACCAAGTTCTAGAACAATCGGAGATCTGGAAGCTAGATTTTGGAAAAATTCCATTCGAGAATGAGCAGAGGTAGAAATCTTTAAACCAGAATCGTAGCGGAAAATCGGCCGAGAAAATATTGATGAGGCTCTAGAAGACTGCCTTGGAAGTGTAGTTTGCTCCAGAAATTTTCAATTGTGTACGGCGAACACAAGAATTTTTCAAGAAATAGTAGAAGATTCGAAAACCTGAAGTGACAACTAAGAAGATAACTAATCCAGAATTGAACCTCATATCCAGAAATAGCATTGAAGAAAGACTACAACAATAAACCAACTCGTTGAAGATGTAGAACATTTAAGAATAAATTGATCAGGAAAATAGAAATAACGGTGATCCAGAAAAATGAAGAAACGAAATGAAATGCTAAATGTAGAAGCTTCAAGGAACCAGAAAAACGAAATCGTGGATCAGAATATTTCAAAAAGATTCTAGAATAATCTGTCGAGAAGAAACATTTTCTTGGTGAAGTGGGATAATCCAGAACCGGTTAGAATGAAGAAAGAGTTGTAAAAGCCCAGTTTGTACGAAGTTCTAGAACAATCGGAGATCTGGAAGCTACATTTTGGAAAAATTCCATTCGAGAATGAGCAGAGGTAGAAATCTTTAAACCAGAATCGTAGAAGAAAATCGGCTGAGAAAATATTGATGAGGCTCTAGAAGACTGTTTTGAAAGTGTAGTTTGCTCCGGAAATTTTCAATTGTGTACGGTGAATATAAGAATTTTTCAAGAAATATCAGAAGATTCGAAAACCGGAAGTGACATTTAAGAAGATAACTAATCCAGAATTGAAACTCATATCCAGAAATAGCATTGAAGAAAGACTACAATAAACCAACTCGTTGAAGATGTAGAAAATTTAAGAATAAGTAGATCAGGGAAATAGAAAGAACGGAGATCCAGAACAACGAAGAAACGAAATGAAATGCTAAATGTAGAAGCTTCAAGGAACCCGAAAAACGAAATCGTGGATCAGAATGTTTCAAAAAGATTCTAGAATAATCTCTTGAGAAGAAAGATTTAGATTTTCTTGGTGAAGTGGAATAATACAGAACCGATTAGAATGAAGAAAGAGTTGTAAAAGGCCAGTTTGTACGAAGTTCTAGAACAATCGGAGATCTGGAAGCTACATTTTGGAAAAATTCCATTCAAGAATGAGCAGAGGTAGAAATCTTTAAACGAGAATCGCAGAGGAAAATCGGCTGAGAAAATATTGATGAGGCTCTAGAAGACTGCTTTGGAAGTGTAGCTTGCTCCAGAAATTTTCAATTGTGTACGGCGAACACAAGAATTTTTCAAGAAATAGTAGAAGATTCGAAAACCCGAAGTGACATTTAAGAAGATAACTAATCCAGAATTGAACCTCATATCCAGAAATAGCATTGAAGAAAGACTACAACAATAAACCAACTCGTTGAAGATGTAGAACATTTAAGAATAAATTGATCAGGAAAATAGAAATAACGGTGATCCAGAAAAATGAAGAAACGAAATGAAATGCTAAATGTAGAAGCTTCAAAGAACCAGAAAAACGAAATCGTGGATCAGAATATTTCAAAAAGATTCTAGAATAATCTGTTGAGAAAAAACATTTTCTTGGTGAAGTGGGATAATACAGAACCGGTTAGAATGAAGCAAGAGTTGTAAAAGGCCAGTTTGTACCAAGTTCTAGAACAATCGGAGATCTGGAAGCTACATTTTGGAAAAATTCCATTCGAGAATGAGCAGAAGTAGAAATCTTTAGACAAGAACCGTAGAGGAAAATCGGTTGAGAAAATATTGATGAGGCTCTAGAAGACTGTTTTGAAAGTGTAGTTTGCTCCGGAAATTTTCAATTGTGTACGGTGAATATAAGAATTTTTCAAGAAATATCAGAAGATTCGAAAACCGGAAGTGACATTTAAGAAGATAACTAATCCAGAATTGAAACTCATATCCAGAAATAGCATTGAAGAAAGACTACAAATAAACCAAGTCGTTGAAGATGTAGAAAATTCAAGAATAAATAGATCAGGGAAATAGAAAGAACGGAGATCCAGAAATACAAAGAAATGAAATAAAATGCTAAATGTAGAAGCCTCAAGGAACCCGAAAAACGAAATCGTGGGTCAGAATGTTTCAAACAGATTCTAGAATAATTTGTTGAGAAGAAACATTTTCTTGGTGAAGTGGAATAAGCCAGAACCGGTTAGAATGAAGAAAGAGTTGTAAAACGCCAGTTTGTACGAAGTTCTAGAACAATCGGAGATCTGGAAGCTACATTTTGGAAAAATTCCATTCGAGAATGAGCAGAGGTAGACATCTTTAAACCAGAATCGTAGAGGAAAATCGGCTGAGAAAATATTGATAAGGTTCTAGAAGGCTGCGTAGAAACTGAAGTTTACTATAGAAACTTTCTATTGTTTTAGGTGAATACAAGAATTTTTCAAGAAATAGCAGAAGATTCGAAAACCGGAAGTGACATTTAAGAAGATAACTAATCCAAAATTGAAACTCGTATCCAGAAATAACATTGAAGAAAGGCCACAATAAAAAAACTTGTCGAAGATGTAGAAAATTTAAGAATAAATAGATCAGGGAAAAAGAAAAACAGAGATCCAAAAATACGAAGAAATGAAATGAAATGATAAATGTAGAAGCTTCAAGGAACCCGAAAAACGAAATCGTGGATCAGAATGTTTCAAAAAGATTCTAGAATAATCTGTTGAGACGAAACATTTTCTTGGTGAAGTGGGATAATCCAGAACCGGTTAGAATGAAGAAAGAGTTGTAAAAGGCCAGTTTGTACAAAGTTCTAGAACAATCGGAGATCTGGATGCTACATTTTGGAAAAATTGCATTCGAGAGTGAGCAGAGTTAGAAATCTTTAAACCAGAATCGTAGAGGAAAATCGGCTGAGAAAATATTGATGAGGCTCTTAAAACTGATTTTGAAGTGCAGTTTGCTCCAGAAATTTTCAATTGTGTACGGTGAATACAAGAATTTTTCAAGAAATAACAGAAGATTGGAAAACCGGAAGTGACATTTAAGAAGATAACTAATCCAGAATTGAAACTCATATCCAGAGATAGCATTGAAGAAAGACTACAAATAAACCAACTCGTTGAAGATGCAGAAAATTTAAGAATAAATAGATCAGGGAAATATAAAAAGCGGAGATCCAGAAAAACGAAGAAACGAAATGGAATTCTAAATGGAGTGGGATAATACAGAATCGGTTAGAATTAAGAAAGAATCTTAGAAGAAAATTGGCTCAGCAAATGTTGATGAGGTTCTAGAAGACTACATTAGAAGTGAAGTTTACTCTAGAAATTTTCATTTGTGTACGGTGAATACAAGACTTGAAGATTTGAAACTCAAAAAACCAACTCGTTGAAGATGTATAAAATGAGAGAATAAATAGATCAGAGAATTGGAAGGAACTGAGATGCAGAAGAAGGAAGAAACGAGAAGAGATGCTAAAATATGGAAGCTTCAAGGAACCCAATAGAAAAAACGTGGTTTAAAAATTTCGAAGAGGATCTAGAGTAATTTGTTGAAAAAAAAAAAAACATTATTTGAGTGAAGTGGAGTAGTCCAAAGGAATTTAGTAGTAATAAAAAAAATGTTTCTACATATTTCGCAGCGGGAATAATAAACAAAGACTCGAATTTTTTCGTACATTACTCAGTTCGGTGGAAATGCGTTTTCGTTACGTCTGCGCGCAGCCCCCAACCGCGGTGTCTCTAACATCCCGTGCGAGCTTCAGTCGGCTGCAGGACGCGGAGCGACGACGACGCCGGACGTCGCGACGCTCGCCTAAGCACGCTGCGATCACACTTCGCGCCATCGCGTTTTTTTTCGAAGTGCCCAGTTATGTCTAGTGCGCCCAAAGAAAATTAAGCAGACCAGCCAGCAGCGAGACCTCGGCGCTACCACGGATGAGGAAGGTGAGGCTCTTTGGAAAACCTGCGAAAAAAATCATAATCGCCGCGCTTTTAAATAAATACTTGCCGCCTCAAACAAACTCGCCTCGATAGACTCCCAAAGAAAACAAACACGCAAGTAACATCGCCGTTCCGGCCCACGCGATCCCGCGAAAAAATAAATAATAACGAATTTCCATCAATTTTGTCGGCTAATTAAATAATCGGCCAATCTTCGTAATGGGCCGCTTTGACACACTGCATCGTTTCCCCATAATAAATCAAACGGCGAAATTAAGTTTTCCAACTTTTCACTTTTGGGTACGGTTGATTAAAATTTTTCTTTTTTCGCGCTGTGGGAAAAGTTGGACGCGTTCAGCTGGCGGGTTCATGTGGAAGGCCTGCTTGATAATGTATGGACTTGTCAGGTTTGACACAGTGTCAAACATGAGGCCACCGTGATGTTGTTAATGCATAAAAATTGAAATTGGCTGGTTTCCTGTTGATTTAAGTTTTATGTCGTGTAAATCGGTCAATAAAGAGCGCCGGGATGGTAGGTGGTTATTTTGGGTATGTCGTTGGGAATGGGTTACTCAACACAGGATGAGAGGGAATTATGTGTGGTCGAAGGATTTTTTATACTCCGGCTTTTTTTGGATGGACATGAAATTACCAGACACATACTAATATATAGGGTGGTTCGAGAATAGTTTGTCAAAAATTATTTTTTCAAATCAAGTAGAATTTTGTATTTTTAACCAAATGCTGAAGGTTATTTTTCTAAATCAGAAGAAACATTAATTAGAATTTTCCATAATTATAGATTTACGCAGAAAAAATTAACTAAGGGGTTAGAGTGGAAATACTTTGGGAAGAACACACCAATAGAAAGAATGTACTGATTGTCATTCATTCGTAGTTTAACCTCACAATATTCCGTTTCGTCTTTTAGTTGCACATATTTTACATTCATACTTCAAAAAATTGTATATGTAATCATAAAAAATTGGTTTAGGGTAATTTAGACAGAATTTTCCTTATCCCTGAAGTACAAGCCAACAAACCGCACTTCTTCGAAAAATGAAAAAAAAATTGTGAACGTTTATTTGGATAAAAAAACACAGCTTTGAAAAATGTAATTTTGGGAATCTTATTTTTTTATGACAATCCCTACATGTCAATAGTAAGTAGTCTAAACAAGAAGGCGGCGTAAACAATAAAAAAAAACAGGTGACAGACAGATAGACAGACAGACAGACAGACAGGGAAATGGGAGATCTAATTTTTCCCACTCTAGAGGTTATAAAACGTAGAAAAATGTCCTTTTTCCTAAACACCATATGATTAAACCGTAACTGACAAATTGTAATGACGCAATATAATAATAATAATATTTATTTTCCAACAAGACAAATCCAATTATAGGAAAATTTCGAAACAAAATAAAGTAAAAAGGTACACAATTAAGTAGTATTCTATATGTAACTATGTGTTCAATATGTTCTTCTTACAGTATTTTTACTTTAGTAACATTATCTACAAAATATTTTGCTGTCAGTTAAATTATGCTTAACTAATTCCCATTGGAGTTCGAGTTCAAGCTTACATTTCTCAAATTATAACTCCCTTATTGGTTGAGATGTAGGCACTATAAAAGCCAAGTTTAATGATAAATTTAACAATTGTTTTGCTTGTTACTGTTATATTCTATACAATTTTATTTATTACAATTTTCAGATATCGATATTTCAGTTTTTCCAAATACAATTCCACAGATGTTATTACTGAATATTTTATTATATATATTTTTTTCTTTTGTGATAAGTATTTTCTATATTTAAAGTTGATAGTTATTGAGGTTTTTTACTTTTTTGAAGAGACACATCGGCATGTTAGAAGAATGAGAAGAAAAAAATGAAGTAAGATGCAGTATTTGATAAAATATGGGGTGTTCCATTTGAAACATTAAAGTATTATAATTTTTTTATAAACACTCTGTACATTAACATTTTATTTAGTTGATACCGCAACAGAGAGCATACTTTTATTTATCCTTCCACAAAATATTGTAAGACATACTTTAAAAATAACCCTACTGTAATTTTTTTTGTGAACCCTTCCATTGCCAAAAAATTTCAAGAAAATTGGAATAACGTGGCAGTGTCCCATAGGAATTTTAAAACTAAGCAGTGGTTGTAAAGCCTATGAAGGGGTCAGCCAAAATATGTAAAAATATATAGGATGTTTCATTAAAAAAAACTAAGTTGTGTTACACTATAAAACAGCACACATTGTATACTTGAAAATAATTTTCGAGTATGATCCTCAAAGAATCGTACAACATTGATCTTCAACTTTTTTTATATTTCTAATAGCGACTCACCCTGTATAGTTTGGTATTTTTGAAAAAAAAAAGCTAGAATCCTATTTAAGAACAGGAAATTAAACGAAAAAGGATAAATTGCAGAACAGCTTTTTTTTTAATTTTTTATTTTATACTGGACAATTTCTCATTATTCTTATATTTTTTCACCTAAAAGTGTCCTATTTTAATATTATGAATAATTATTTTGGAATTTATCTTTTTTTTAAATTAAAATTAAAATGTCAAAACAAAAATTTAACTTGTTTTAAGCACAAAAAATAATAGAAATGAAGGGATGAAATGGTAGACACGAAGTTTATACTACAGGATTGTGAAATTTTTGAAAATGTTAGGTTTTTTGAAAAAAAGACGAAGGTTTTACACTTTTAAAAAAGACAGTTGACAGCCCCGAGAAGATTTAATATTCTTAAAAAAATACACTTGGGGCTCCGGAGAATGTTTCGCCTTTTTTAAAAAAGGACGTTTGGGTCCCCCGAGAAGGTTTCACATTCTTAAAAAAAAAGATATTTGGGGCCCTTGAGAAGGTTTTACAATTTTAAAAAAGACAGTTGGAACCTCCGAGACGGTTTCACATTCTTAAAAAAAAAGATTTGGGGCCCCGAGAAGGTTTTACATTTTTAAAAAAGACAGTTGGCAGCCCCGAGAAGATTTAATATTCTTAAAAAAATACACTTGGGGCCCCGGAGAAGGTTTCGCTTTTTTTAAAAATGGACGTTTGGGACCCCCGAGAAGGTTTCACATTCTTAAAAAAAGATATTTGGGGCCCTCGAGAAGGTTTTACATTTTTAAAAAAGCCAGTTGGAACCCCCGAGAAGGTTTCACATTCTTAAAAAAATAGATTTGGGGTCCCCGAGAAGATTTTACAATTTTCAAAAAGACAGTTGGGACCCACGACAAGGTTTCACATTCTTAAAAAAAAAAGATTTGGGACTCCGAGAAGGTTTCACATTTAAAAAAAATACATTTGGGGTCCTCGAGAAGGTTTTACATTTTTAAAAAAGACAGTTGGGAGCCCGGAGAAGATTTAGTATTCTTAAAAAAATATATTTGGGGTCCCCGAGAAGGTTTTACAATAAAAAAAAAATGCTAGAATTCTATTTACGAACAGGAAATTAAAAGAAAAAGGATAAATGGCAGAACAGCGTTTTTTACTTTTTATATATGCTAGACAATTTCTCATTATTCTTATATTTTTTCACCTAAAAGTGTTCTATTTTAATAGTATGAATAATTATTTTGGAATTTATCTTTTTTTTACTTAAAATTAAAATGTCAGAACAAAAATTTAACTTGTTTTAAGCACAAAAAAAATAGAAATGAAGGGATGAAATGCTAGACACGAAGTTTACACTACAGGATTGTGAAATTTTTGAAAATGTTAGGTTTTTTGAAAAAAAAAGACGAAGGTTTTACATTTTTAAAAAAGACAGTTGGCAGCCCCGAGAAGATTTAATATTCTTAAAAAAATATACTTGGGGCCCCGGAGAAGGTTTCGCTTTTTTTAAAAAAGGACGTTTGGGACCCCCGAGAAGGTTTCACATTCTTAAAAAAAGATATTTGGGGCCCTCGAGAAGGTTTTACATTTTTAAAAAAGCCAGTTGGAACCCCCGAGAAGGTTTCACATTCTTAAAAAATAGATTTGGGGTCCCCGAGAAGATTTTACATTTTAAAAAAAGTCAATTGGGACCCCGAGAAGGTTTCACATTCTGAAAAAAATACATTTGGGATCCTCGAGAATGTTTTACAATTTTAAAAAAGACAGCTGGAACCCCCGAGAAGGTTTCACATTCTTAAAAAAAAGATTTGGGACCCCGAGAAGGTTTCACATTCTTAAAAAACTATATTGGGCGACCCCGAGAAGGTTTTACATTTTTGAAAAAGACAGTTTGGGATCCCCGAGAAGGTTTTACATTTTAAAAAAAGTTAGTTGGGACCCCCGGGAAGGTTTCACATTCTTAATAAAACAGATTTGGGGTCCTCGAGAAGGTCGTACAATTTTCAAAAAGACAGTTGGGACCCACGACAAGGTTTCACATTCTTAAAAAAAAAAAGATTTGGGACCCCGAGAAGGTTTCACATTAAAAAAAAAATACATTTGGGGTCGTCGAGAAAGTTTTACATTTTTAAAAAAGACAGTTGGGAGAAGATTTAACATTCTTAAAAAAATATATTTGGGGCCCCCGAGAAGGTTTTACAAAAAAAAAATGCTAGAATTCTATTTACGAACAGGAAATTAAAAGAAAAAGGATAAATGGCAGAACAGCTTTTTTTTATTTTTTATTATATATTACACAATTTCTCATTATTCTTATATTTTTTCACCTAAAAGTGTTCTGTTTTAATATTATGAATAATTATTTTGGAATTTATCTTTTTTTAATGAAAATTAAAATGTCAAAACAAAAATTTAACTTGTTTTAAGCACAAAAAAAATAGAAATGAAGGGATGAAATGGTAAACACGAAGTTTATGCTACAGGATTGTGAAATTTTTGAAAATGTTAGGTTTTTTGAAAAAAAAAGACGAAGGTTTTACATTTTTAAAAAAGACAGTTGACAGCCCCAGAAGATTTAATATTCTTAAAAAAATACACTTGGGGCACCGGAGAAGGTTTCGCATTTTTTAAAAAAGGACGTTT